GGTCGTTCTCATGGGTCAATCCGTTGAATGTATTTAATTTGGAACTTGTCACGCGAACTCTACCCCTCTCCGCACTGGCGCCTTCGCCTTTGTGGGCCTATGGTAGCGAGAGGCATTCCAGTCACGTCTGCCCGTTTACTCCGGCACCTTGATTGCGACTTCGGTGTCTCTTGTTCCGACATCAATTGCGCTCCCTTGGCGCAGCATTCGCCACTCTCATCTAATTTACCACGCAGTTGATCCTTTTAGATCTCAACACTCTCAATCACATTTGGTTGCCTGAGATGGGAGATTCCACGCGCGAGCCAAATTTTGGCACTTGTAAGACACACTGGAAATAGCCTTACACCTTAGCCAATTAGTGTGATACCCCACTTCCGTTAAAAAACTTTGGTCATTGTGAAGTACACGTGGTTACTAGTAGTTATCCATGATAGAGCGATTTCATGAAGAAACGGGTGCTTACAATCAGGTCACGCTATTGACAGACGGTGATGAAGTGCCCCCTCATGTACGCCGCTTTCATTCAAACCTTCCTACACAGTGTGCACAATTTTTTGCTCAGTGACACCATCCTGTTTCGTGTGTGAGTTGGTTGATTTACTTTGAATGCTTTTGAGCCTTTGGGATTAGTTCACTCCCTGTACCTCACTTCAAATGTGAGAATGACACCTCACCCACCGGGTGGCCGTTGGCATTTGTTCCTTTTGCTGTCTCGTTGTGCCACTTTTCACCGCGGCTACCTCGTGAGAGAGTTGCACTGGAGGAGCGAATTTTCCACAGTATCTCTCGTGTTGCACTGGAGGGCACACTTGCAGATCCACTTCTTACCTACCGCCAAATTCCCCTTCTTGATCTTGTAGTGTCTCCATAGATATGCGAATTCACTCCCATGATTATGCCTCTCGTTGGTGTTGCCTGACTGTCGTTTGCCCACAAGCTTAACTGTGTATATTTTCAACTGTTTGCAACAATATCAAGCATATCCTAGGTAGCGTCATGTTTTTGAGTCAATTCAATGCCTCTTGGTCGACGAGAAGTACACAAACTGGTCCCTCTGCAATTACATAAGCTGTAGAAGCGCATGCATTCGTAAACAACGGCATTAAGACCTCCTTAATCGCTAGTAGCTCTAGCAAATCGTTTTGTCCAAATCCACTGGTTATTGAAGTCCCAATCTCAGTCACCACACGCCATTTGCTAACGGACAACAGGCACCCTTTTTATTCTACCATTCTTCAAGCATAGCCGTCTCGCCGATTTACCTTATCTATTGTTCTTTGCTGAGTAGAAATGAGATGCTTATTAATCCGGTCTCAATGAGGTACGCTGTGCACATAATGAATGCACCATACCACTTTTAATCCGGTAGCCATAGTTACGTGAGAACTTAGTCCTGCGCCCCTTTCATAGTTGTATCCTAACAGTAATCCCGACAATGGAGTTAAACGTGTCAGAATTCTAATGGAGCATCTGCCGATTACCTGTTGTGCAGGCTCCACTGGTGCTTCACATGGTTACACTGTCACTCGCCTCAGCCGACCATCTTACCTCTCTACACTACTTCCCTACGCGATTCCCAACGTTATGCCATCGTCATTATCATGACCCGTTTGCCTCACTCTCCGATTATTTAATTCAGTTTGCCATCGGTCCTACTTTCTGGTTTTATGATTGTTTTTCTTTTTTTTGGTTTAATACCTCTTTCGAATTCCAGATTGACACCCACTAGTCTTCAGTCTATTTTGGTAATTTTCCCACTCTTGGTGAATCGCAGCCGTTAGCTCACCTACGCACCTACTTCGAGTGTGTGCTTGTGCTAATCTCTTCTTCGGGTAGAATATTGAAAACCAGGTCAGGACTCGTACATCACACTAGCAACTTCATGCCTTCCTCAACTGGTTGGAGCAGAGTGCAATGCGTCACAGGATCGGTCCTGTTTCAAATGCCACAAACTATGAGCTGTGAAATATTCGCAAGCACAGATCATCTACCGCTCTCGTAAATACAAACTGGGGCACGAATTTGCACACCCATTTGTTGTTTAGATAGTCAGTGTATGTGTGTACCCGTTGTAGAACAATGAACTCACCTGTGTATGTGGCTGTGTAAGCAGCGCAAAGGCTGTAGTTTAACGGAGTATAATCCCAATGCGATGTCTTCATGTTCTAATTCTAGCCCATCTTTTCATCCACTCCCTTACCACGCTAGCTAGCAGGGTCTCAGAGGGCAGTTGGCCACCACAGTGCGGACGTTTTATTGCTCCACTACGACACCAATTGTGAGCCATTTTTGTACTGCACGTATAGTGTCGTAAATAAACAAAGAACCAACTTACAGGCTGTTGCACCTGTGACGCTGGTGTATTATCCTAAACACGGTTTGGTGAAATGTGTCACATGTTGGTGACAA